TGTCAACCTTCCCCCGCAGTATGATTTATTCCTCATAAATAAGAATGATGCACCAAGGGGGTAAGAGGACAGATAAGACCAGCAACGTTGCATAATAAACCTCTTATTCAAAAATTCTCTTCGACGCCACAGTGCCAGATCACAACCCCCAACTACTCCTCCCCCTCTAACCCCGCCTCATTCACCACACAAGTGTCCAGCGTACAAAAGGACCTTAAAAAAACCGAATAGAGATGAACGAGTAGTGAAAACAAGTGGGGAAGGAAGTAGATGGGTTAAACTCTCTTTTTGCATCTCTCTCTCAATGTCCACATGTATAGCGCCACAAGAGTGGCGGAAGAGGAGGGGGTGAGGGCGTCTAGCCTCGTCAGGTCCCCGGAAAATATTTATAAACGCTTTTCTTCCGCACCACGACGCTTAATCGCTCTCTTGAGGGTGTATACGATGAAATAGGAACGGACTAGCTTCGTTTGTAGCCGAGGGCGATCTTACAGATTCTCACGAGTGGGCTTGTGCCAGCCCCCTCTCGTGGGTCGATAGTGGCAAGGCTCATTATACTGCCACCTAAAACTCAACGACTTTTTTCTCTCTTCCCTTCTCTTCCCTAAAACGATTTTTATCGGGTACCAAACATCCTCTTCTCCATTTCCAATAAGCCCACATGCGCCCATACGTATGCAGAGAAGGACAAGAAATCCCCAGAAGAACTTCCCAAAAAACAAAAAAAAATGTAAGTGACGAGAGAATGGCAAAATTTCCAAGATAAATAGAACTCCAGTTTCAAAGCCGTATATTGCCATGCCTTTGGTGGATCCAAAGAGGGGGAGAGGAAGAAGACAAAGAAAAACAATGTTGCCGAAGCTCTCTTCCCCCCTATAATGATACCTGCAAAAAGTTTGATGAAGTAAACAGACTGTAAAATAAAAGAAGAGCACTGAGTACCAAATTTATGACAACTTTAACAGAATATATGAGCGTCGTTTTTTTGGCGGGGTGTGAGGTGGTGGGGGAAGGAGGGTCAGACTAAAGTTGAGTTTTACGTCTTTTGGTGAGAAATTTTCAGCATCGAACAGCGAGGCATAACCCAGGGGTACAGAGGACTCATACATATAACTTTCGTACATATACTTCAAGTATAAGAGTGTCGGTAGTGGGCACACACGGGCGTTAGAAAATAAAATGAAATGGAGTAACAAGAAAAGATGAGGGGGAGGCGGCGGTGGCGGGGGGATGATGGGGTGGAAGTGAGTAAAGAGGAGAAAAAGACGAGAAATCTCACCGCCGCGCTGGAGCCGCGCTGGCGCGAGATGCGGTGGCAAGCGGGGGCCGCCCGCACACTCGGCTTATAGTGGAAATACCATCCACAGAAAAACTATAGAACCCCCTCGTTTCCCCCCTCTTAGTTGTCCCCAAATTTTCCCATGGGAGTATATTTTTGGAATCGTGCAAAGAAACGAGGGGGATTATCTATTTTTATCCCCTCAACGGTTTCATTTAGAAAATTCCAATTAATTTGAGGTTGTGAGGAAATTAATTGCAAAATGATTTGAAAAAAAGTGGGGAAAAAAATTTTTGTGGTTCTACATATAAATTGTAAAGCGAGGAGAGGAGGAGAGGGAGGATGATGAGAGTCCGGGTCGGACGGCCATGCTTCTGCGCTGTAGCCCAACCAGTGCCACCAGCACGAAAACTCCATCGTCTATCCGCGAGACGATGATATGTATAGCCCAGCACGAGAGTGAGGATAGAACTGAACTGAGGATGCGAGGGTGAGGAAGAGAAAGGTGGCGGTGGAGGAATGAGGGGTAGAGGGCGGCTGGAGGCTGAGGCCGAAGCGACGGCGCAAAGCTTTCCAACGCGCGGTGTCGAGGAAAAGCGCTTGTTGGAACCGTAGAGTGCGGCTCGTTAGTCGTCGAGGAGTCATTGACGTTAGACCATCGCTCCGTGGGTCTTAAAAACATGCGTTGAGTGTACCAGTGAAGTACTTCAACATCCCGATTCCAATTAACCAATACAAGAGTGAATAGAGTTCATTGATTGAGTGCGTGGGAAAATGAACGGGGAGTTGTAAATAATTGAGAATTTTTTTTTCTTTCAGAGTTGTTAAGTGTTTCGATGTGCCCTGAATTTTTCGTGATTTCCTTTCTAACGTAAAACCCGGTGCCACTCGATCGTTCAGGGACACTCCACGGGGATTGTGCCGTCGTGTGTGTCCCATGTGTACCCCCACTCTCAATCCTACTGAATAATCCCAGGAAAACGTGAGTTCGAGGAGGAAAAGTAGTCTAGATCGGGTCCAAGTGCTTTTAGTATTGTGGAGGATGAACCGAGAGTAGGTGGAATGGGAGGAATAGAATAAGATTGATGCTGCTTTGATATTTTTCCTTGGTGGATTGGTATATCGTGGGGGCTCCAAGGGGGGGAGAAGACGGTGGTTGTGCTAGGGTATACGTGACCCGTTATATATATACGTGCCGATGCAAATTTTCACCGGGTGCGAAACGTTTCACAGCTGGATACGCGACCGTGAATCACATCAGGAATATGTTGACTGCTGAAACCAGCAAATGTCAGTGTATGTTTACTTATTCATCATCATTATGTTGTTTAATTGTTTGAGGGAGGAGTTTTGATTGGAGTTTGATATTCTAACTTTGATATGATTATGTAGAATTACTTGATGGATTTTTACATAAATTTTTTATGAATTATTTAATTCTCTTGGAATAATGCAGATAGAAACGGGAATGTTCATCAGTAATTCTATTTACAACTGGGGAAAATTCGGGTAAACAATAACTTTCATAACTCCATAAACCGTGAGAGAACCATGAGACAAAACGATAACCCCAATTTCCTTCCGTGTACGGAAATTTGTTGTGAAAGAGAGAAACCCCCGATGGCTGAAGCTTCTGTTTGTACCCGTTTCTCTAATATTTTGCCACTCAGAGAGGGAATCACACTCTCGTAAACTATCTCTGACACAATCTCGCCAAATTAAATTACGAGTTCCAACAGATTTTTTTCCTGCACATCCTCCCCTCCTTTCATTCCAACCCTTTCTCCTATTACCTTTTTCGTGTCTCCATTTTCTTTTTTATTTTCCACTTTTACACCAAGAGCAATTTTTTTTTTCACCTCTGTTTTTTGTGACTCTCGTGACAAGGGCCCATAAAAATGCGACTTTTTTATTCATAGAAAATAAATAAATATTATGAAAGAAACAAAGAATTGTGGAATGATGGTGAAAAAAGAGTTGTATAGGAGAAAGGAAAGAAAAATGGGAATTATATACTGCGACCTAAAATCACAAGGATTGGTTTGAATTATACTGACGTGTCTTTGACGTAAAAACAAAAAAAATTCGAGTGGCAGTGGGAGCGGGGGAGGGAGAGAGTGCTCGGAGGTACAGAATAAAGAAACGGTGAGGAAATTATTTTTGAGCTCTTCCATTAGCGAGCTATCCGAAAAATGAAATGCTGGTGGAATCGCTTAAAAAAACAGGATAGAAGGAGGGGGGTGGGTTGAGGTGCCTGAGTGGCTTTAATCTTGTTCGTCTCCTATTTGATCAGAAATTCATCGAATATTCCCACCTGAATCTCTGAAACTTCTCCTAAAAAGAAAAAATGAAATAAAAATAAAAGAGTCGGTCACTCTCTCTGTGGAAACAAAAAATTTCCCATCAAAATCCATCCTCTTGAGGAGCTTAAATTCCATCTCTAGAATTGGAATGTCAAACTTGAAATCAGCCCGGTAGAACCCGTACGCTGTGTTCTGAAAAAGAATTGAAATAAATTAGCTTAGGGTAGAAACTATGAGAGAAAGAGGTGAAGTAGAAATTAAAAAAAAGAAGTTGAAAATAAACAAAAAACTTTAAACAACTCTTTGGATTTACAGAGAGTCAACGACGACTGGAAAAACCACCCTGACTTTGCAATAGTCCAGTGGTGTGGAAATGGGATTGAGGCTTGATGGAGCTGGAGAAACGACTACAACACGTAACACGTGAAATGTTTAATGGAGGAGGCAACTGACTGTTAAAACTTGGTCGAAGGTAGTTTGGGGGTACCGACTGGGTGGAGCATTAATTGGTGCAAGAGGCAATCAAGAGACGCGTGGAGCGATGTCCATGCAAACGAACGCTGGTGACAGTGGTGGTTCGTTACCATTTGGTTGTGCCAAGGGTCACCATCAAGAATCACGGTGATTGGGTCTTCTGACGTCATACGTGTGAATAAGTTATCAATGAGAGGATTCCTTTTGAAAAAGAACACATGATGAACAAGTTTCAATGAATAAATCAAATGAACCAAATAGAGCAACAAAAGGAGATGAAATCAGTGAAACTCAACTTCATTGTTATCGTTACGAAAATTGAAACAGCCAAAACAAAATAAATAGATGACAGATGAATAAATCAGCTGTCGTGATTTCTCAAGTAAATCGTGGAAGCGTGGAGACACAACTCATTTTCCAACTGGCATACCCTGAGAGACGTGAAAACAGGAGAATAGTAAGCTTTAGTCGGATTGGTATTCGCTGTTCACCACAGTTGGTGCCAAGTGAGGAAAACGAAAAGGAATAGGTGGAAAAGATAGAAGCTAGGAGAGTGAGAGAGCATCAGTTCTACGCTTTGTATGTAGAATACCTTGCCTCCTCATGTATTCTCAAACTTGAAGGAGAGAGAGAGAGAGAGAGAGAGAGAGAGAGAGAGAGAGAGAGAGAGAGATACGATTTTGGAGAGGAAAAGCCGTGAAAAACATGACGCCACGAAAGTACGTAACTTATGGCCTCGCATAAATAACCAACGCTGAGCTCGTATAACGCTTCTATTCGGGATCGATGCTGCTTTAGGTTCGTTCGCTTTTGGCGAGGCCGTTTATCCTGGACAAGAGCGTGGAATACATACTGAAAAGAGGTTGGCCGGGGGGGGGGG